CAGTCCTAGCCTCCAGTTATTCAAATTGATGGAAAATGCTGTCTGGCCATTACATACAAATAATGACATTGTTACATTGTTTCCCTTGTTTTATTTGGTTGCAATCGTATCCAGATTTCATCTTCAGCGCCTATATCAGGGATGCACTCAGTCAGCAGCTCAGAAGACATCAAGCCTCCGTTTGGCCTGAGGCCCATGCAGGCTCACAGCCCGGGAATAATGTTGTCTCAGAAACGTCTGTGTGTCATCTGTGGGGACCGCTCTTCTGGTGAGTGAACTTAATCAGCACAAGGTAAAGGACAGAAGTGAAACATCAGCCGACGAATATTTCAACCCATGATAACATTTTCATGTAGTGGATCTTACTTATTACGAATGATATCAAAAAGTTTCCCCAACTCATACATGCAGGTTGATGTTGTCTTCCTTCCAGTCTTCTCATTGGGCCGTAACGTTAGTTTTTTTTCCCCCCCCCATTATGTTACAGGCAAGCACTATGGAGTGTACAGCTGTGAGGGTTGCAAAGGTTTCTTTAAACGAACTGTGCGAAAAGACCTGAGCTACACCTGCAGGGATAACAAAGAGTGCCTGGTTGACAAACGCCAGCGCAATCGCTGCCAGTACTGCCGCTACCAGAAGTGCCTGGCCATGGGAATGAAGAGGGAAGGTATGCAAAGTATTAGAATATTGCCATTGAGAGCTTGTTTGGCAGTCAGACGGTTTAGCAACGCGTTTTGTTCTGACTTGTCTTACATGTAACTGTACCCACAGTGATAAGTCAAAATGTTGTATGTTAGCGATAAAAAAAACTAGCTGTGAATGAAAATTTCATGAAGTTATTAATTATACAGAGTTAAGCCTAAATAAAACAGTTTAAGTAAATGTGGACTATTGATAACATACATTAGGACAGACAGGTTTGTTGGGGCTGGTGCAACTAACCTGTCTCCAATTCAAATCTTTCTCCATCTTTCACTAGCAATCAAACTTGTAAAGGACATAACAGAAGATGGAAAAGTTGAAGGATGGATGAGTATGACATTGAATTCTTGAGGATACTGTATTTTAATGTCACATGGAGAATTAGAAATTGCTAGAAATGCAAAGTTCATGACATTTGTGTGTGAATTTGACCTGGGAATGATGGAGAGTGATGACTGCTGTGGTGTACTGCCAAATGTAGTATGTGGCACGTATGTGGTCTAATAAACAGTAATCCAAGGAGTTCTAATTTTGGTTGCTGTTAAGGGCACAGATCGGATTCGTATAGCTGCAGTTTTCAGTGTCTGATTGCCTAGTGATAATGGCAGATTATCCCTCAGTGTCAGCATTTTAAGAAGAGTCCTGGCTTGTGTTGCTTATACTGCTTCAAAATTACTTAAGTTTTAAGTAATATAATACCAATACAACAATTCATAGTCAGTTTTGAAAATTCTGAAAAAAAGGGGCGGGAGGAAGAGCATGTGTGAAAACCTTCAAATTAACTTGCACGGCTGCTTGACTGCTTTAAATGGAGAAAGATTATTTTAAGTTGGTCCAAAACATTTTGTTTTTGGGTTCAAAGGCTTGTATTTGTATGTTTATGCTTAGCTTCATTCTTGTGCTACATAAACCACTCTGTACTGAGCTTCCACTGGTGAACATCCACACAGATATTATATAGAGTCGAGTTCTGATTTGACCCTAAGGTTCTGAGCAGAAAACCCTAATTTATTTATAGTTTGAACTTGAATGAACATCTGGTTGTACACATTAATACACAACAGTAGATAATTGTGTTTCATTTCCACTGTAAATTAGATCCAGTGAACTTGTCGTCATCTTTAAAACATGATGTCTAACCAGATTCTTTACTTTGGCTTTGAACACTGTGAGTCATATTCTTCAGCATGCACTAAAAACAAATATGTTGCACCGCGTTCTTTAATTTTTGCAATGTGACTAAAAGAAAATTAAGCATGTCTCAGACTGATGCTGAAAAACTAGTTCATGCATT